CTGTGCTTCAGCTGTCTCCTATTCTGCTCTTAGAGTTGGGGGCAGGGCTAGAGTTCATAAAACACTTGTAATTTTGTATCCTAATGTCTGTCTTCCCAGTGCAGAAGTTTCCTAAGGAGTTGTTTCTTTTATAATAAACCCCACCTCCATTCCTATGTTTTCCTTTCTGTTTTTTGGGGGTTTGTTTTTTGTGTGTGTGCTGGGTGCAGCAGGCCAGCTGTGGTTTTCTCTGCTGTGATGACTTGTGCTTGTGATGTACTGTATGTTCAGTTAGATAACTCTTCATTGTAAACAAACTGTAACTGCAAGGAGCAGTGCTCATAAATCAGCCTAACATTTATAAGATCTTCTTTGACTTGTTTCTCGTTGTGTTTTTCTTAGAAACCTATGAGCCAAAAAAAAAAACAACCATGTGCCAGTTCATTCCTTTTATTTCCTACCTAAGTCTGGGGGCTGAGGGTGTTTAGTGTCATACAGGCAAGATAAGTTCAGGTTTGTCTGTACTTAAGTGAATTTTCTTAAGACTGAAGTCCTGTTGCTCACCAGCTTCTTCCTGTGCCTTTTTAACTGGATATTTGTGATTCTTGGTGTCCTAGTTACTTGTTCTCATCACTGAGACAAATACCCGACACCCAGTTAGAGGAGGAAAAGGTTTAGTGGGCTCCCAGGCAGGGTGGTGTGGCAGAGAAAGGTCCGTGGCAAAGCAGGCCAGGCTGAAGGCAGCAAGCAAGTGATCCAGAGACCAGCAAGCACCAAACTACAAAAGTAACGAGTCTGAAGCCTCTTTCCGTATACCCAGGCTACCCACCCTTAGAGGAGGCTAGCCTTCACACCTTTAATCCTTGAGCTACACCGTGACTCAGTCACAATAGACTCACCCACTTAGGCAGAAGCCCTCCTATGACCTCATAAGACTGGGGAGATGCCTAAGCATGAACCAGAATGCCTGGGATTCAGTGTTTTTACCTGCACTTGGGTCACAATCTTGGTGACCCCTAGGGTTCTAGAGTGCAGTAGACCCTCTATGTCTCCCTTGTCTTGTTCTCTATAGAGTTTGGTTTTGGCCTGCTGTACCATAACATGGTTTCTCAGCGTCCTGACTTAATTCCTTAACAGCTCAGAAGCATTTAAGGCTGAGGCATTTAAGCTCAGTGGCACAGTGCCTGCCTGGCAAACATAAGGTCCTGAATGCTATGTTATATATATTATCCCTGCTTTTCCTAAATTCATCCTCCGCCCAGCTGCCGGTAACGCCTAGTTAGCAACCACTGCTGATCCCTCTGCTGCCCAGGTTGGAGCCTGCCTTCAAGGCTAACTTGCCTTGGGCAAAGGCCTATCCTAGATACCGCCATCCTACTGTGATCCAAAGGCTCTACGCTGAGATCTGGGCCTTTGTTCTTGGTCCCTTCTGCGTCGTACATCCATACTGGCTGGCAGGCAGGCAGTCCATCTTGCTCCCACGGCCTGTGCCCATACTTCTAGATAAAACAGCTGGCAGTCTAACATGAGACTTCTAATGTGCAACACGATTAAGATGATGAATAGCACTGTGGGCTCTTGTGACTATATCAATTGAGACAGTTGGGACCAGTGACAGCAGCATCTTGGGATGACTGCTTTGTTTCAGCAAGTGTGTATCTTGCTCATCTCTGTTCCATAGACCTAGATATCCATGGTTTCCCTCAAGGCAAGTTGTCTAGTTGTCTAGTAATGGCTTAATTTTCAAAAGAGGGTGGCCCTACCCAGTGTTTTGCAGAGCATGGGCCGAGTTTACATCTGTTATTCAATACTGTTAAGAGCACCCTTTATTGAGACAAGATACTGACTATGTAGTTCAGGGTGGTCTTGAACTTATACTATATAACCCAGGCTGGCCTTGAACTCATTGTGATACTCCTGCCTCAGCCTCCCAAGTGTTTAGATTATAGGTGTGTGCCACCATGCGCAACTTCAAGAAGGCCTTTTTCTCTCAGTATTTTCCTGGTTTTGCTGCTACAATTATACAGTTAACTCTATTTTGACTGTGTGTCTACGTCCCTGTACTGCTTGGCGGTATCAGTAGACTGAAGAGACAATGACCTGAGCGCTTTGGTTTCTGGTTCATTGTATCTAATTCTCCGACAAAAAGGTAATAGGAAAAGGTTGCAAACAACCAGCATAGTTCCTTCTCCACCCTGTCAGTTGGAATTAGCTTTAACCCACAGGTCACATTGCAAACTCTTTGTATTTCTAAGGTGTTTTTGTATAGTTGATCTAACTTACACTGGGTCACATGATAATGTTATCAGTGATATGTTAAACAGAATGAAGGGATAGATTAAACAATAAGAACCAAGGCTTCCTTCTTAAAGAGAAAGACCAGTTGGGTGTGGTGGCTTGAGAGGCTGAGGTAGGAAAATGAAGAGTTCCAGGCCGGCCTAGAGTGCAAAGGAGCCCTTGTCCAAAACCCGAACTAGTCAAACATTCTCAGTGAATTCCTTAAATAGGAGGCCCTTAGTGTCTTTTGTCAGTTATTAGGCACAAACTAACCAAAATGTCCCTGAGTTCTTTGGATGGGTGTTCTCCGTGGCCAGTTAAAAAGATCCAGAGCCAGGGCTGGTGAGATGGCTCAGTGGTCTAAAGCGCCTACTTAGAACAAGTTTAGCGAAGCCCAGGGACCACGGTTCAATCCCCCAGCACCACATGCCAGCCAGCCCGCCCGCTGGTGGGCTGAGCTGGCCACACACACACACACACACACACACAAAATTAAAAAAAAAAAAAAAGATCCAGAGCCTTCCTGGTCCTGCTGTGCCAGCTCCACCCTGGGGGCGGGCTGAGATGGCAATTGAGACTGGGAGAGGTGGCACATGCCTGTAATCCCAGCTCTTTGGAGGCTGTAAACAGGTGGATCACTACGAGTCCGATCCAGTAGTGAGACCCTGAACACCCTGTAAACCTTCGCCCCCCCCCCCCAAAAAAAAAAAAATCAGAGTCGAGGATGGTGCTGTGCCCCCAGAACCCCCCATACTCTGGGAGGCTAAGGCCAGAGGTTTCCAAATTTAAGCCTAGCTGGAGCAATTTAGTAACTTTGACTCTTAAACTTTTAAAAGACTGGAATAGGGCTGTGTGA